GTTAAATGACCTTAAACAAACCTTTAAAGTTTTAGAAGTTGATTTGGGACCAAACTAAAGTGTTTGGAAGGATTTTTAAGTGTTTTCTGAGCCTATTTTTTAGGTTTTATGGTTAGGGTATCGATATTGGATAAATAGTATCGATACCAGTTGAACTAGGTTGATTTTTTTGGCATTTTATAATGGGAGTATCAATACTCTAAGTGGAAGTATCGATATCGCATCCCTGGTATCAATACTAAGGGTAACGATATCAATAATAGGGGTAAAATTTATAATCCATTAGTTATTTTTGGTACTAGTACTCATAGGAGTATCAATACTACAAGTAGAGTATCAATATTACCCCTTTTGGATGGTTAGAATTAACCTTGTTAAGGACCATAAGAGCTAAGGATTATCCGAAATGGTGGAACTTAGTTCGTGAGGGACATAAATGGCCAAATGGGCTAGGAAACCACTCATAGGAGTGGGTTACAACCAAAGTAACCATACTAGATGAACCACTTCCGAGTATCTTAAATCGAACATGCATTGAGTAATCTTGAATGAAGGATCATTCTGAAAGATATGCCAACATGTGAGACGATGAACAACGTGACTAGAGTGATAGAGGAAAATGAATACCACATGAACTTCTATAATCAAAGATGTGTAAGTTACCCTACCGGTTTAAGGGCGAATCGATGACAAATGTGACAAGAGCTACTAGGGACTCATTGTCAACGAACTAATCCTCAAATCAAGTGTTGGTCTAGTTGTAATATAGTAAGATAATAACGATGAATATGAATTTCCTTGAAGGCATAAAACACCAAAATATTATTAAGCCCTTGTATAACGTTCTAAGAGAGAGAACAAACGAAATAGTAGTAAGTCAGGGAGTTATCTCCCCTACTGGTGTTATAACTGATACTAATAGTATATGTGTGATAACCATAAGAACCTTATAAGATAAGATTCGATAAAACTTATGCCTTTGTTTGCCACTCGGGAAACGATGAGGACACTCGAGTTACTTGTGTATATATGAGGATCGTCCAATTGTTTGAGAAATATCTTGATATATCCAAATTAGTGTGAGGGCACTTTAAACGCTAGGTGGACGTAGGCTCTGATGTTACGTGACCCAAAGGCGTCCCAAGTACTCTACGGAGTAGACTAGCCAAACAAAGTGTCGATGATGTGTGACTCGGGCCTAGCCTAAGGTATTTTGGAGGTGTTGTATGACCTGGACCTCGCTTGAAGTACTTGGAAGATGCTGATTTTGTGTGATCCAAGTCTCTCCTAAGGTACCTCTAGTAAGCAAATAGGGGTGTGAGTTCTGTGATGCTATGTGACCTCGAGCTACACCATGATGCTTACTTGTTGTTTTATAGTTGTACCTGGCATCCTTGTGATATCGGGTACTACCATTGTATGTTGCATGATGATGCATAGTAGGATTATACTGAGGTTAGAGGTCTGGTATACGCTTACTTATAGCGAGGCCCTTAGTAGAGACTAAGGGAAGCGTGAGACTTACTCTAAAGAGGTAGAACTGTCAAGCCTTAAGTAGGTAGCACTTGATTAGGATCATGCTTGTATCTACTGCTTATTACCATGTCTTCTAGCATGCTTATGTTTATGTGATTCATATGCTGCTCTAAATTATCGATTATACTACTGGGATTTGTAAGCTCAACATTCGAATGTTTCTATTCACAGGTTAGTATATCGAGCCGTTCGAGGAGTATCGTCGTAGCATGTCTTTCAATATTCCTCATAGAGTACTGTTTAGTTACTTGTAATTGACATGTGTATTCATAGGACCCTTACTTGTCCATTTTAGATTGTAAACTCGAGTTGTATTATTTTATTTAAATTATGTGTCATGGACCTCCAATTTTATAAAAGTATTTTATTAGTGTATTTTACCTATTGATTTTAAATGATAGGTATGGTTATTGATTTCAAAAAAAAAATGGTTAGCCACTTTGGTAGTTTTGTGTGACATTCGAATCCTCCAGACTTTGAGTCGGATCAGATTAGGATGTTACATTAAGAGCACACCATGGAAGTTGCAAAACATTTTAACAACATTAAATTCTAATAAAAAAAAGGAAGAATTGATACAAGCTCTTATAAAGAATTTGTTGAGTTTATTTTAGATCTTCGAATGCGTCATAATTCACCCCCTTTCTTCGATGTTAATGTAACATTCCAAAATACGGGTTAGTGACTAAATTGTAAAATTTCAGAGTTTGGTGATTTAAGTAGGATATTTGTACAGTCCAATGATTTGTTCGGAAATATTTCCTGAAAGTTATTAGTAATTATCAAAGGAATTAAAGGGCAAAATGGTCATTTAGCATGAAAGATATTTTTTATCTCTTTATTAAGAGATAAATGTGAGTTGGGGAAAGAGTTTCTGAAAACTCTTTCTTCTTCTTTTCTTCTTCTCCAACGTGCAGGGCAAAGGTAAGGTTTTCTAAATTGTTGGTTATTTGTTAAATTAAAGATTAGGTTTTGATCATTAGATGATAACTAAGCTTAAGGAAAGCTTAAGTTGTCTTATAATCAAAAGATGAAGAAGTTATAAGAGATTAAAGAAAATGAGTTTTTATATGAAATCATGGAAAAGAGTTGATAAGTTGAATTTAAAGTTAAATTTGACTTGTCATCATCCTAATTAAGGAATATGAAGTGTTAGAATTGTATTTAGAACATATTGAAATTTGAGTATGATTCTTGAATTTCATATGAAGGATAGGATTTTGAAGTTATAGATGATTTTCATGGATATAAGTTGGTTTAAGTAATGGTAGTTGAATTTAATGACATGATAGGGGTTTAAAATAGAAGAATTAAGTGAAGAATTGATGATTTTCGGGGTTAAAATACCAATTCTGGTTAGAGGGAACCGATACCCTATGAAGGGAATCGATTCCCCCTCTTGGATGAAATTTTTCCAGAATGTCCAGGGGGTATCGATTCCCCTGGGGGGGGGGAATCGATTCCCCCTAAAGGAAAAATGAAATTAGGTTCAATAATCTGGCTTAAGTTGTTAACATCAAGTTTAAGGTTTAGGCTTCTGATAGTTGTTTTGAAATGTTATATTTATGTAGATATTGAGCCTAAACAAGTTCTGGAATAATCAAAGGATTAGAATTGATTCAAATCAAACAAGGCTAAGGTGAGTGCAATTTTTATTGTACTTATATTATTGAACGAACATTGGCTTGCGATGAGCCAGTGATGGAGTTACTACGGTAAGAAGTGACTCCTAAATTATTATTTGATTTCATGATTTTTATATGTGCATGAATACATGAAATGTGTATAGATTATTATAAATGTTACATGATATACATGCACATGATTATGCTATGAGACATGACCATGTGAAATGAGAAAAACTATGTGAATATATGAAATGACATATGAATATGCAAAATGTGATACATGTGATATGATATGAAATACATGGTTACACATACATGTGGTATGTGACAGAAGAGAAAGAACAAGTGATGAGAAATGTATTCATCATAAATGCCCATAGTATATGATACGAGAGCTATAGGTATAGTTGGCATGCCAAGAGTCGAGGGTTCTGTAGTCCTTCGGGACGTAGTCCTTCGGGACGTAGTCCTTCGGGACGTAGTCCTTCGGGACGTAGTGGTCCTACGGGACATATATAGCAGTCATTCGGGACGAATACTGAACTAATGTTCGGTGCCCCATGAGGGAATTTATACGAGCTGTGGTGACAGCATTTGTGCACAACCTCAATGAACTCACATACCTCTATTCTCAATAATATACATGGGCAATACAATTGAAAGATAAATTAAAGTGAAAGTGGCACAAGAAGGTAAGTGTTACATGTGCTTGACATGCTTATATATGTTATCATGTGATAGATACATGCATGTTGAAATGTCATGATCAAATGATAAGAATGCACATTCATGAATTTGTTGTTAAATGTTTATTTATTGCCTCACTAAGTCTATGACTTAGCGTGTAAGTGATTTACACGTAGGTACCAAGAAACGTGAAGAGTAAGAATAGAAGTAGCAAGGATAGTATTATTACTTGAAGATCATATCAGAAGTAATCAACAAGTATGTATTTTGGCGTGTATAGAGTGTTGGCATGTAATAAGTCGTTAATTATGAATACTCTGATCAAACTTGTATTTTGTGGTCTCTCTGATGTAAATTAAAGTATTTTGTTTTAAACAAAGTTTTAAATTACCCGGGGTATTTTCTTTAAGTGTCCAGATTTGAAAAGTCAATGTGACACCTCGGACTCGTATTCGGGTCGGGTACGGGTTGGGGTGTTACAGTTAAAATAGATCTGAGCTCGACTATTGTGGCCTGGTCTCTGCAATGACTATGAAAGAAGCTATAGACAAAGTTTAAGTAAAGCTGAAGGATATCAAAGAAGTACTAGAAAGGGAGAGTAAGGGAACCAGTGATATAAAAGATAAGAGAGTACAGTAAATGTACCAAAATGAATAAGATTACCTCTTCAGTCCTTTATTCTATGCCTCGATAGAAACAATCAAGTACGAAAAGTTGAAGGATGAGATTTTTATTATGACCAACTTAGTTAAAGTTGGACGCAAAACTTCAAAGTGTCACTGGTCATAAGCTGTTGCATCGGTGAGTTTTGCAATACTCCTCTTCACGGTGGTGGTTGCATAGTGAATGAAGAATAATAGAGAAAAAATCAATCAAATGTTTTGGGGAGTCAAATGTGTGGTAAAACATTCTAGGTCATCTGTTTAACATGTCATGTCATCATTTCGTTACCCCAGTAGCAATTGTTAATGGTAAGTGATCGATTTATTACAAATCGATAATGTTAATAACCAATGTGTTACTTTTATAACTTCAGTAGAAAAACGAAAACTTACTAAAACTTTAGTAAACATTTATGTAGTTTACCCTAATAAAAAACAGATAATTACTTATACACCCCGATACCCAGAGAAGCTGCGGAACCGAAGACCGTGAGAGGTAACACGAAAATCTGTGTCTTCGTCGTCGTTCGTCCCCCCTTCCAAACCCTAAAAAGTAACGAGTTCTATTCTTTGCCTTGTTCCAGAACTCTCTCAAACTTTCTCCGATCTACCGATTCTGCCCTTCTACACTCTTCACTACCGCTCAACTTCCCTTCCATTTCAACCCTTCTCCCTGGTTTTATTGCATGATCGATTGCTCAACCTTTTCCTTGTTTAAAATTTCCCTCATTCTGATTTTTAGGGTTTCTTTTACTTGACCGCGAAGAATTGACTTGAATAGAAGAAGAGGAAGGTGCTTGAGATTTTTGTCTTTTTCTTTGTTCTGATCTGGAGAAGTACCTCAGTGCGAATCCATGTTAGAGGTATTCTGGGTTTTTACGTAAAAATGAGGTTTTCTCCCCTGATTCTTCTTTTCTAGAATTAGAACTGTTCCTGTTTATTTTTATTTATCTTGGAAATTTGTATAGCTATGGAGATTCCGAGGAGAAAAGTAGTCGAAATAAGAAGTTTACGACAACTAAACTCTAAACCTTTTATAATTAAAATAAACTGATGCTATGTGGCGGTAAAGTATTCCATAATATATGAGATTAATTTCAGCTTTTGCAAGTATAGCCATCACTTGGAAACTTTTGTAAATTGATGTTCACGATGTATTTAGAATTTGTTTTAGAAGTGGAATATGCTATTGAATTGGCTTCTTGAGAACTTAATACTGTGGTCTTTTTATAAATTCAAACGTGAAATATGGTTTTCGGAGATGTTGGTCTGTTGCCTCCCATTAAATCCACCATGAAGCTTTGCTTAGATTTCTGTTTGAGGCAATGAATGTTTTCTGTGGTTCAATGTAAATATTAATCCAGATTTATCTAAAATGCGAGGGTTGTTTGGTTACCTAGTTGGCGTTTATCTGATTTTCATGACATATAGTTTGCCCTATTGTGCATTATGTCGGCTGTTAAATTGTTGAAATATGAGGAGTTTTTTCCTAGGAAAAACTAGTTGTCTGCCTTTGTTTCACCAAAAATTTGTCTATTTAAATAGGCCTCCTAAAGGCAGCTTTCACTTGACTCCATCTAATTGGGAACAACATTTTTTTCTGTAACAAAATCATTTATCTTTTGGCACTTGTGCGAATTCCGATGGCAAAAAAAAAATACTATGTTGAAGAAACCGTAGATTCTATGTGAAAGTTGACTGTAGAAATTAAAAGTTGTAAGTTGCTAGCATGGAACAAAAAGGGAACAGTTTGAAAAAGAAGTGTGCTTCGTATAGGCATTATGCATTTCAATTCTAAAATGTCAGAATTGGAGATTTTACACTGAATGATGAACTTGAAAAGGTTTTTTTGCCTTCGCAGATGTTTTGCCCTGATGCTCATTGATGTTTTCCTTGAATTTGGCTTCAAATTTTCAGTTGATGATGATATATGTTTCATGAATCGATAGCTTATGGATCCTGAAGGCAAAAATTTTGGAAGAGGTACAATGTGTTGAAAGTGTTGCTTTATTATTGTATCTTGTTGTTCTCATTGCATTTGTTTGGTTAACACAAGATTTTGGATTTTCTGTTAGCTTTGTATCAATCATAATACTTTTCCATGGTATTGGCTCCCTCTTATCCTTGTAGGTTAATTGCTCTGGCATTTAACTTCCAAGTTCTAGGTTCAAGAGCTGGTATTCCCTCAGGAAACAAATGCACTCATCACTGGGAGATCATTCATATCTTGATGATCTTACCTATTGTTCTTCCAAGTTTTGGTTATCATTTTCTATTTCCATTAAACAGCAGTTGTTAAAAAGTAGACTAACAAGCATCTTCCCTTCTACCCGAATAAGGAAACCATAGGAAAAGAATTAAGAATCTTAATTGTTGTAGTGGGTTGCTTCTGACACATATACTTGTAAACCTTTTCCTTTTCACCATGTATGTGATATGTTAAATCTGTAAAGTTTGTGGACTATATGCTTTTCCCGTAAAAGGAAATTTGTTTGACGACATTGCTTTAATATATCAGTCACTATCATTATGATATGGCACCATCAGGATTTGTTCAATATTGTATAAGTCTAAACCATTAACTTCATACATGATGATTATTTTGCTTGGTTGTATCTTTTAATCACTGCCATGTATTTACACCTAAAACCATCTTTTATATAATTTTTCAAACTGAAAACCATCTTCATAAGTATTCCATTACTAAATTCATTTCATTTATAAATAATTACCTAATACCAGCATAAGATCCGCTTTCCTTTACTTGCTAACTATGTTACTCAAAATGATGCAAAAGTCATACATGATCCATGTTCCATCGGTTGTATTACTTGCAGAAAATCCATAGGCCACCTAAAATGATTATCAGTCACTTATCTTTTTTAGATTTTGGATTGAAAGCTTCAAGTTAGTTTACTGAAATTCCAGTTGTTTGCTGTTGAATTTTTATTATTGTAATTTTCAACTGACGAGAAACTTCTTATATGAATAAATTTAGGACCAAAGGAACTTACTGGTGCTGTTGATCTTATAAGCCATTATAAGCTGTTGCCTCACCATGACTTCTTCTGCAAGAGACCTCTTCCTTTGTCCATTTCAGACACACACTATCTTCATCATGTGGTGGGAGACATTGAAATTAGAAAAGGAGAAAGGATGCAGTTGGACCAGCTTATTCAGAATGCATCTCATAACAGAGAAGCTAATACCTACATTCAGCCTTTTGATCTAGATATTCTTAAGGAGGCTTTCCTCCTGAGAGAAACTACTCCTGTTGAATTGTCAGCCGTAAGAAATTTACTACTTTGAGATTTGTTTTTATTTAAGCTAAATGGAAGTCCTCGGCATGTCAATGTTTAGTAAAACGGTAAAAGTTTAATGGTCATACAGTGTGTACCCCCTTCTTATTGACGATATTTTCTTCGATAGTCAGCACTTCGGTCAGATTTCTTACCAATTGCTTATTTGATAGAATGAAAAAGGGATTCCTACCATTGCTGGAAAATCAAAGAGTGAAGCCAAAGATAAAGAGAGGAAGCATAAAAAGCACAAAGACAGAGATAAGGAGAAGGATAAAGAGCATAAGAAGCACAAGCACCGTCATAAAGATAAAGATCGAAATTAAGAAAAAGACAAGGAAAAAAAGAAAGATAGAAGTGGGCATCATGATTCTGGTGCTTATCAATCAAAAAAGTACCATGAAAAGGTTGGAAGTTGTTACCTTTCGAAAAGTTTTGGGACCCAAAATCAATTAGCAAAGTTGTCTTGTTTTTTTGTTCAATAACAGCGTTGTTTCTTTTAATCTACGCATAAGACATTTTTGTTTGACCATTAAAAATAAACATTTTAATGATACCAGGAATAAAATTATACTTGTGTCCCTTTGCAAGCCTGCTTGATCTTTTGGAAAGTTTATCAAAAAAACTAAACCCATTTCTTTTGAAATTAATAAGTTAGTTTTTAAATGGATTTCCATATGAATTCTTTTTTATTCATATGATCCCAGAAAAGGAAAATGATGGAGACGAAGATCTTAATGATGTTCACAGACAAAAAAAAGTAAGGTGGTGCACATCATTGTTGTTTAGCTCTATTCTGTTGCATTTTATGGATTATCTTTTACATTTTTGTTATATGTTTAGCATTAACTCCCCATGTCTTTCAACAGTGCCAGTATACATTGTTTTCTAACACGTTCTCTTCTCTCTAATCAACTACATAACTAACTTGTTGCAGCACAAAAGCTCAAAAATTGATGAAGTAGGTGCAATCAAAGTCACAGGCTAAAGCGGTGGCATTCTATGGTTCATTTGTTGTCTCAGATGGTTTTGGAAGTGTGAAAGGGTTTGCTTAACGTTCTCAACATCGGTTGAGGTGAATGCCTGAATGTTGTTGCCTTTTTAATCATTATTATTCTCATTTTTTTCTTGCTCAATATAATATCCTGTTAACCATTATCATTGCTAAACATTAGGAAATTTATATGCGAATATACCCCAGATCGACGATAGTCTTCTTCATTCCCTATTGATCAAACATTATGTGTTTTAAGGAACAATGAAGAACACAAACTATTTCATTGTATTAGCAGTGGGTTAGAACTGGACCATTTGTTGCAGTATGTTTAAAGTAAAATTTTTAGGAAATGTCTAAACTCTAAACATAAAGCTTCAATCATTTTTGCATGTAGCTAAGCAACTGGACTTTTAGAGAATGTAGTTCTCAACTATTTCTGGGGCAACCCTATGTGGCAAGGGTACTGATCTGGATTTGCTAAGTAGTAATTTTTGCATGTTGCTAGACAATCCTTTGGCTGAGAAGGTTGTGGAGTGGCATTCTTTTAACTTCATTTTGAAGAGATTATGTATTTAATTAATTACATTTCAAGTGTTTAAAATTCTAGCGTTGGGTTTAGATTCCAATGAGCAGGAAAAAAAGGCTAGTAAACATGGCTTATTCTCTTCATAGTATTATTGATTTAAAATACACTTGCCACTGCTCATTAAGTAACCTTCTATTATCTAGCTTCTCACTATTTTTTTTTTGATAAAATAGCTTCTCACTATTTGTTGTGTAATATTTTATTATTTATTTATAATTTTTATTATTATTATCATATTATTTTGGGTAGCTAGTAGTGGGATTGGAATTGGGGGAATGCTGTTTAGTTGCCAATTAGGTTTTAAAGATTCTCAGACTCTTGTTTTTGTGCAGAGTAGCTTGTAAACTGACTAAAGAATGTTTAGAAGGTGATTCACACATTGATGGAAGGTATAGGTTGCTGAAAATGGACACCTTTATTCCTGTGTATCATAAAACAGTGCACTAAAGTGGTAGCATTCTAAATTGTGTTATGTCTTTATTCTTTCCTTTTATAGTTTTTGTAGCATGTTGGGTGACTTCTTGTTTGCATACATGATATTTAAAAACTTTATGTTCATTAACTTGGTGCAAAGAAATATAACAGTGCCAGAAATGTAAGATGATGTTTGATCCAATTATTGTTACAAATTAAATTCTGGTACAATTTCTCCTTTCATACACTTTCTAGGGGAGGATTTGAACGAAGCGAACGAGCTCATGGATCACTTGCAAAGAGATTTTATTGTCATCAAATCTGTAAAAATAGAGCCAAGAGTGAAAGCTAGAAAAATGCTAAAAGGGTTCGAGAAATTGATCTCTTTTTAACTTGGTTCTATTTTTAGCTTCCCAATCTGATTTGTTTGGCAGTAGCATCACTTTACAAGTATTTGTAGGAGTAGGAATAGGAGCCTTCTTTGCTAAAGTCCTCTACTACAGATAGTGTATAAAAATAAGTAATACCAGAATTCAATATCCTAAATTGTAAGTTCCTAACATAATTATATCAAATGAAGCTAGCAAACTAAATTGTTAACTAATATTTGGTATGATTTGATGGCTATCGTGTTATGTCCTTGTACGGTTGGAAACTATTAAGCATTTTTTTTGTTTGAGTTAATGTCCATGATATGGTCCATTTTTGGATTTGTGGCTCTCCCCAAGCAATGTATTTTTAAAGGTTTGAACTTGAATCCTTCTCTTAAAAATGTAATGTGCCTTGTCTTTGTTCCCAACACTTGTTGGTATTTAGTATTTTTTTTAATGAAAGCACAATCTTTGTTGAGAATTACATGTGTTGAACAAGATGGTATGGATTTGAGTTTGATCTTTTGTTTGGTATTAATGTAATGTATAATAAAGTCTTTTAAAGAACAATTAAAGTACAAAAAGATAAGTGCCTCGTTGTGATAATATCTTAAATTATTATTTAAGGGAAGGGTATTTTAGTTTATTTATACTTAAATTGGTATTCTGTAACTCAGTTATAAACGTAAATAGTAGTATAGGTACCCAAAAAAATTAAGAGTAAAGATGAAGTTTGCTTTCAAAATGTTGTGTTTCTTTCTTAAACTCATATTTTGTTTTGATTTTTGTTCCCCCAAAGTTATTTTACAAGCATAAGATAAAATTTGTGGGTTTGGAGGGATAGCCCAATCTTTTCAGAGGATGAATAAGCTGTCTTTTCAGAGGATGAATAAGCTGTGTAAATAACCAAAATATCAGGCCATGCTAGAAGAGGAAGGCAAAGATGGATAAAAAGGGTGGCTGGGATCGTTTCTATAAAAAAAATGAATTATTGTATATTTTATATTTTTATTAATAATTTGTTTTTATCTTGTATAATTTTTAAATTCGTTCTTCGATAAAATTTTAGAAGTTTATTCCTTTAACATTAAATTAATTTTCATCCCCGAAAGAAAAAAACTGTCTGAAGCCTAACAAAATTTCCAAACTTTAAACTGCCCTGGGCAGCTTGTGAGTCTTTTTTTTTTTAAATTTAATTTCAAAGGAATGGTGTGTGTTGGTATTTTAGTTGGTACGATTGAGAAGAAATTGTTAATTTGTTATTTGGTTTGGGAGCAAGTTTACATCCCCTCAACATAGCCTAATAAATTATATAAAAAGCAAAAAGAAATGAAGTGGTGTCGGCAGGGCAGCCCCTTGTACAGGAAGCAACGAAACGACAAACAGGCGACTATGGAATCCTAAACAACTGCTACTGCATTATTATTTAATAAACCACTTTATCATGGAAAACATTGATAGTGAGGCAAATCTGAAATATAAATGTTTTACTGTTACTGCTATGATTAAAGCGTAATTGTTTGGGATGATGATGTTGGCAAAATCATGAAATACGGTCATGATTGGAACATGCTTACCCCAAAGAAAAAGTAGTTGAAGTTCACAATGATGAATCTCCTTAACGGTCTAAAGCTCCAATTATGATCCTATAAAAACACCTTTATTCAAGTCAAAACCAGCGTTACTGCTTCAATCCGAATATTCATACAAGGAGTGGAGTATTAATCCAGTTCTCTAATCCCCCTTTTTTCAGAGAAATAAATAAAGTTGCTTTTATATCTTGTTCAGTAAGCATCTTATAAAGTGTCGAGCCTCCACCAAAAATCTAAGAATAAGGAAGTGGAATTCCCAAACTTCGATGCTACAAAGTAAGTCCAATTTCCTATGTTTTTGTTGCTATCCTATCCCCCCCCCCCCCCCCCCCCCCCCCCCCCACACATTTACCCCTGCACCGACATTTTAAAAACAAAGTAAAGATTAAAAAATATAATAATTTTATAACCCCTAGATGAATGACACACAATCAATTAATTTAAGGTATTACATAAAACTATCGAAGTGCGCAATTAACTTTTTCTTACTTTATTTAATTACAAAATAACTGTAAAATAAACTGGAGAATAAATAAAATCTTTACACTGAGGAGCTTTAAATTAAAGTATTTACACTTTACAAAATTACTACAGACCGCTCTATTGAAACTACGATTCAACTAGACAATAAAATTTACAAATATACATGCACTCTCAAAAAAAAATGCTGAGACGTACTCTGAATCTGCACTGGACTGATATGGACCTTGGTCTATCTACTACTTTCCAACTGCTTGATCTACTAACCTACCCACAGAAACATCTGAAGGCTGAGCTAAGTAGCTCATCAACACACTAATAGCTAAAACATATTAATTTCATATCACTGAAAGGCTAGCTATCAAGTCTACTGATCTGATATGCTTAGTGAATATCCTTGCGATACTTACTCTCTACGCTACTGTAGACATCATGGTGTGGCTGAGGGATTACTGCATCTCGGGGCTCACGTACCCCTCTAGTCTATTGAGATATGACCCCCGAAATTTTGCATCAGACACCATACCCCTTACTAACCCCACCCCTTGCGAGTGTCAGGCCTCGGCCTTAGCTAATCGATTTTAAGGGCCTTGCGCCCTACCTAAGGATATATCTGGACTGCATCTATACATTCGACTCCACTAGTTTTTCTAAAGGAACTCGGGTGTCCGAATTATTTGATTTTTAAGTTTGAATTAACATCAATTATATTCTCACTTGTAGTCTACCTCGTGTCTAGATCTCTAAAAAATTGATATTTCTGCCCAAAACATACTGAAGGTATCGATACTAGCCAAAAGTATCGATATTCATGCAAAAGTTTCGATACTTATAAAAAGTTTCGATACTTTTTTATAAGTATCGATACTTTTAAACATTATGTTCTGTCTAGTTTCGATACTTTTTTGGGAGTTTCGAAACTATGACCCAAAGTTTCGATATTCTTGAAAGAGTTTCGATACTCTTACTTAGAAAACATGATTTTACCCAGAAACGAAGAACAAGTATCAATACTAACCCTATAGTATTGATATTGTACATGCAAAAGTCATAAAACAAGCACAAAAAACTCTATTTTTCAATCCCAAAGGCCCTAGTGAGGTCCACAAACATTCTTTAAAGTTTTATGTGATATTAAGGGAGCATAAATAAGGCTTAAAAATATGCTGAAAACATTAAACATAAAATTTACCATAGAAAGCTACTAAACATGCTTTATCTCAACTTTCTAGCTAAAACTCCTTTCTAATGATTCTACAACTGGTATGGAAAAGCTAATAGTGTTTTACCTGGATTCTTTGGATGCTAGAACACTTCTTCAATCAACTAGGGATTCATTCTTCCTTTTCACTTGGCTTGAACTCTCTCTTCAACCTCTTTAACTTACTTAACTAGGTGTTGGATACAACTTAGATACACTCCCTACAACTCAAACACTCTTCTAAAATTACTTAAAACACTTTATTTCTAAAAAAACCCATAAAAACCCCATTTTTTAAAAACTAAGACAAACCTTGAAATTAAGATCTCTAATGGAAGCTTAGAAGATGAAGAATAGATTTATTACCTTAATTGCTTCAATCTAGGCTTAGGTTTCCTTAGAGTTTGATCTCGACTAAGTAGAAGAAATGAAAAAGAAGAGTTTGGAGAATAAGAAAATGGGAAGATAATTTTGGAGAATGACTCACGTGAAAAATAAGGGAGATAAGGGGTTTTTAACCTTTAAAACAAGCTACGGGTAAACTACACTTTTAGTCATTCTCCCTTTAACTCATTTTTAAAAACACCAATATCCTTTAACTATTGGGCCAACTTAAGCCCAATACCCTTTTTGAACTGATTCAACTATCTTAAGAGGTCTAACTGGTTTGACTTACGGGTTTCGGGTTGATCGAAACTACAGACCCGGGTTTCGGGGCATTACAAAATCCGTCTTTTATAAAGTAATATTTTCATTTGTTTACCACGTCCATACAAACATGAACCCCTGTACCTTGTTTCTCCATAAATTTATGGAAATAATATCCAAAAAGTCTAATTATAGGAGTGATATTCACTTTTAAGGTTTCTTAAGTCGCATATTATGTTAAGATTGGGTGAGAGGGGAAGACGTGGATGTTTTCTAAGATGTGCTAGGGAAAGAGAACACACACTTTCAAAAGCTTTTTGTAATTTAATTGTACATTTCAAAAAATTGAGAAACTCATAACATTTATAATATCTAATTATTCGGTCTTCAAAATATGCCACTCTAATATTAATTCAATATTTTTTATTTAATCGATTAAATTAAAGAAACCAAAATTACAATATTTTTTATTTAACTGATTCAACTACTCAAACTATCAAATCTTGATTTAATTTATTCAAATTATTTATTTGGTTCATCCACAAATTTATCGATGTCAAAATTAAAATTAATTATTTTTTAATCATTAATCAATTTAAAAAATCAAAGTTGAGCTAATTCAATGAGTTTTTGAAATAGCCGAAGTTTGCTATAAGTTACTTTTAGTTTAATAAATTTATTATGTTAAAAATAGTTTGATGTTATTCGGGGTGCAAACTTAAAATATATACAATATATAACATATTTAAT